TTCTAGAATACCAACTAAGGCAAATTGATATGAAATTGTGAATTTTAATATCTTTTAAGAGTTTCTCATTTCTATGTGTCCCAAATTGTGTATTATGAACTTTTTTGAAGAAGGAAAGATCAGGGCTGGAAAGGGAGGAAAGGATTCATGGAGAATCTGAAAGGAGTAGATGGAAAAAAAGTGAATGAAAACTAGACACAGAAGAGAATTTCAGAAAAGGAATAATGAGAATACACAAGAGACAACAGGAATAAAGATATTCCTATTTGGGAAACTAAGTTTTAAAACTGTACATACGAATTATCTATTTAAGTGGTGATGTTCAAATTATCTGTTTAAATGATGTTTATCTGATGGCTGTAATATGAAATATGAGACTTTAAGAAAATAAGCAGGACATGCTTTTAAATTTTATGATGGGCACTTAGCCAAAGGTAATTGAAGGGATTCTAGAAAACGTTTTAGAAAATGAAAATGGGAAGGACATTATGTGAATAAGAGATAAGATGTATTCTGAGTGAAATAGTTGAAGTTTTTTCGCTGGCTCCTAAGACAGGGAGTAATAATGTTCCAAGACATTATCCAGCAGCTCAACTTAATTGTTTTGTTTATGACAGTGTGATACTGGGATGGCTTAGACATTCAGTTTATTTAATTTAATTAATCAAACCTCAAGTCACTACTGAGTGGTTAGTCTCAGAGACCAGCCATGACCAAGGAGGTCAACAGGGATTGGCTGAGCACTAAACGAGCTCATCAATTGAGCATTGTGTCCTAGGGCATTGGGGAGAGTATAAAAGGGGGCGCAGGAGACTGCCAGACTGGCTCTTCAGTAGTTTCTGAACATGTAGATAGCAGGAGTAAGACAGGTAAGTAGAGAAGAAAGCAGGTACCCTTCTAATTAACTAAGGGTCTGAGTTAGTGTGAGTGGTCAGACTATGAGGTCTGATACTAGAAAAAGAGGTGTGTGTGGGCAGGGGTGGGGGTTATGGATAAAGGGGGCAGAGGAATGCTCTCAATTGAGTTGGGGTTGGGATGTGCCTTAAGTAGGGAGTAGGGATTCTGTGTGAGGTTGGAGACTGGGACGGGAGCAGGGGACAGATCTTGTTTATTGGAAGATAGTCATACTGGTTTACTGTGGAACAGAAAATTCACATTGGAAAAGCAGTAGGAAATAAGCTGATACCATATTTGCTGGGGGAGGCATAGTTTAAATGCCAAAGAACAACATTTAAACTTAATCTTGAAGGTTACAGGAGATTAATAGGGAAGGGACACAAATCCCTACTAAATATCGAATGTAAACCAAACAGCAGCAATACTTAAGGAAAACATTTTCCTTTTTCCTAAATTTTCAGCATCACACATGTGTCTTTGTGGTCAGAGAGAGGGAGGAAAATAGATTGGACCAGAAAAAGTATTGAACTCTCTGCCTTGCCACTCTGGGATGGGCAGGGTTACTACTTAGGTGATTGGGCTACTGGAATGAAGGCAAAAGTAAAACTCAACAAAAACCCCAAGTACAAGGCAGAATTGGGGAGATCGAGGTTCTTGTGCTTCAGGGACTTTTAAAAGCCCTTGTTTGTGGCTACATGTCTGAATACAGCGGTCTTTGCTTGGATAATTCCCAGCCAAGACAGCTGTTTATTCAGTGGCAGCCGTGTCTCATCACAGAGTGGGCCCTGTTTCTGGTGAGAGAGACAGAAGTTGGCAAAGCTTCATCCTAGGCAAGTTAGCCTCTTTGAACCTGTTTCCTCATCTGTAACATGAGGGCAGCAGCAGGCTTGACCTCACAATAAGGGCTTTTGTGATGTATGCATGAGGTACCACCAGCCCAGTGCTTAGCAACGGTGGTTGCTACATAGTCAATGCTCAGTACTACAGTTACCATATATGATATATAATATGTAATATATAATATATAATAGAGTGTAATATCAATAACACAATTAAGTATTACAATATTAATACTTTAAAGGATAAATGTATCTTATGACCTAGAGAATTACTATTTACATTGCCTTAGATGGGATTAGATACCCCTTTGGTCTGGGTTTGGACCCAGACCCAGGCCTAAATTTGAAGTAAAGTGAACTCTTCTGGGTTTATTGGCATGGGAGGGTGGGAGGTGGTGGTGCAAGGTGTTGTGGCCATAGGAATATTAAATTCCATGTCAGCCTTTGGTTTAATTTGGCACTGCCTGTTACTCAAACAAAGCAGCGTTGTGGTGGCAGAGGAAGGGAGAGGCGGAAAATCAACACGTTCTTGGAAATAAGATGTGGCTTTTGCTTTGACTATTTTGTTTTCTCTTCAGCTACAAAAATATTTCTTCGCTCTTGGGCTCACAACGAAAATCCCTTCCAGACCATGGTAGAAACCTAAGCTTCAGAGGAAGGTTCCATTTAAGATGACGAGGAGTTAGCAAGACTTCCCTTGATACTTATTTTAATATGAGAACCCCTCAGATAGAGTTATTCAGCCTAGGGAGAAAGCTTTGCATTTACTTGGAGCCTCCCTCAACCTCATTCCTTGTAGTTATGGCATGTGTGTTACTTTCAAAATTGACATCGGCTGTATTTCCTGATAACGTTCCTTCAGTGTTTGTAGGTGTATAGTTGTATCATTTACCCATTCTCGCCACGTGTTTATATGTTAGGCTTTTAAAGTTTTAGGGTAAAATTTTAGTATAAAGACTGTTGGTGAAATATTCATTCTCCAGTAGTTGCTCTCTTGGACCTCAGACATCTGGCATGTTGCTAGAGGAGCTGGTCCCAGGTCAATATTCGAGGTACAGGGAAGCTCTGTGTGACCGAGTCAATGGAAATTTCTTGTTTTCTGGTTCTGTGGTATATGCTTAAAGCAAGATTTCAAGCAAAAAAAGTTTGGGTATCACCTCTCCTTTCACTACACAATACAAGAGCAATACAGGAAACACCCACTGTGATGTTGAGCTTGTGTCAATTATGATGCGATGGACTGCACAGGGAATGGATACTGTCTTCTCCCAATCTTCAAGAAACAGCACACACTCACTGGACACTCAGTCTCTGCCCTCGAAGAGCTTACACTTTAGTTGAGAAACCAGACCTTAATACATACTCTGTGCTGTAATATTGACCAACCTGTTCATGATACAGAACATGGAAACATGGAGTACCTACATACATGATTTAATAGGAAAAAAATACACTTCCATACTTCAAATGCCATCCATAGTTCACTAGGAATGTCCAGTGACAAACTTTTCTTAAGAGTTAACTTGTTTTTGGTTGACATTTCAATGCTCTGTGTCTCACCACATGGATAAAGGAGCATACAGATCTATAGTACTGTTGGTGTTAGGTATCAACTCAGATTTCCTAGAAGTAACTATTTTTTTTCTCATAGGGATATATTTTTATGGAGGGAGCAAGAAGGTCCAGAGAAAGTTTCACAAAGTGCATATTTTCCACTAAACAGAAGATTGAGTCTTGACACCCAATAGTGATCTTTCTTTTCTCCTTGATTACACCTGTCCTGAATTTCTAGAAAGATGAATGCTAGGGATCAAACTAATGTCCCTGAGTAAAATGGGAGACCAGGAAGCCTATAGCACTTCATTAATTCATTTGTATTTAATTCATTTTGTAAATGTGTTTTGAACCTGACTAGATAAAAAAGACCTCCCTTTTCTGAGGTTCCTATGAAAAGTAAATGACCTATTCAAATTGAGGGCAATTTGAATGGCTCATTTGGTCACTCTTGAAGCCTAAAAGGTGCCAGAAAGCAGGAAAGAGTAAGTATCTATAATGTCTAGGCTCATTTCTTTTCTCCCCTGTAACAATAGGCATAGAATTAATCCGTTTTTGTATCTACTAGCTCAAATAACTGCACTTATCCTTGTGGGCTGGGCAAAGCACATGCACATGCGTCCTTTATGAAATAGAGACATCCCATTTCACAGATGTATCAGAGAACTTTACCCTTTAAGGCTCTGCTGATTTGCATAATCCAAATTTTCTAGGCCTTTCAGTTATCCGGAGACTTGTCTTTACATTTAACCCTTCCTAAAGCTAAGCCCCAAACAAAAAGCGCCTCAGCTTTTATCACCAGGGTTTAGGAGATCGTGAAGAGGGCTGTTTTTTTTTTTATTATATTTTACCCCTAAGATTGACTCAGGGCTGCCTCAGGACATATGGGACAGAAAACTTTTTCGTGATTCATTCCCATTCCGTAAGCAGTTTAACTCTTTAGGAACACATAGTCTTAAGTTCTAGGAAGATCTAAGCAGTTGGGAGAATTTTAGGGGAATGGACAGACACTCTACAACCCAATACCGTATGTAGCTTGTGTTTAACAGGCGAGGGGACCGAAACGCACAGTGATCTCTAGTTTTCCCTTTGCTCTTAGCTGTGTGACTTTAGGTTTCAGCCTCCTAGAAAAAGAAATCAGCCTAATTCCCCCACTCAGGTAGATTTCACTTTTCCTCAGTTTATGTCTAAAACCCTACGACTGTACGTGTCGCTTTGCAATCCGCTTTGTTTCTCTTTGGAGCTATGTTTCTTGGGGGTATTGAGCCATGTAATGAAATATTCTTCGGTCACTTTTAACCTCTTTTCATTCCTTTCTTTCCCTCTAGGGCACCAGGGGCCGGCGAGGCCGAATCTCAAAGCGCTGCTGGCGCTACTGGTGATAGAACAATATGATCAAGTTATAAGGGCGGCGGAGAGATGGGGGGGGCGGGAAGGATTCAGAGAAAAAATGAAGCAAGCTCCACTTGAAGATCTAAGGGATTTCCGGCACTAGAAAAGTTGCATACAGTTTTCGGTAACCTGCAGCAGGGGGCGCTCGGAAATTGTCGTCACTTTCCGGGTAGCCTCCCAAGACTTTACCCTCTAGAAAACTGTACAGTGTTTCCGGCTTTTCTCAGTTGTAGACGCTCGTAAGTTTCCGGCAGTTTCCGGGGAGACTCGGGGACTCTGCGTCTGTCTCGCTCGGCTCCGAGTGCCCGGTGCGGCGGGGCAGGGTCTGGGGCTAGTCATGGCGTCCCCGTCTCGGAGACTACAGACCAAACCAGTCATTACTTGCTTCAAGAGCGTCCTCTTGATCTACACTTTCATCTTCTGGGTGAGAGATGGAGGAGCCCGGGGACGGGAGGGGGTCCTGGGTTTGGGTGGGGGGTGTGACCCTGAGCAGAGGGCGCTCAGGCCTGGGGGTGTGGGGAGGGAGGCGCGGGTGGGGTTCGGGCGGCTGGAGCTGTTGGGACCCCGACGCGGGCGAAGAGTCGCTGGGGCTCGAGCCCGGGCATCCTGCCGGCGCCGGGGTCAGGGTCCCGGAGGATGGCAGCCAATAGGCTGTGCTGGGACACAGACGGGCTTCGGGTTCGAATGTGATGCGGGGGACGAGGAGGGGAGTGAACACCCCGGAGCTCGCAGAGGGTGTCCCCGGGCCGTTGAGAGAGGCGAGGCTTGCCCCGCCCCTCTGAGGGCTCACCCGCATAATAGTCTCTTTCTTTTCACCGCTTCGTAAGAGGGGAGCATTTCGCAGGTAAGTATGGTCATGGCTGCACTCCCGCCCACCTCTCCTCGGCCTTGCTTTTGTGTACTATCCCTTTGTACGCGGTGCTCGTCTCTGAACTGGGGTGGGGAGAAGGGGGAAGTTTCTGGAACTCACAGAGATACTTTCTTCCCTCCTCCAGAAGGTTTTCTTCCTATGGCCGGAGTGAAGCGGTTAAATAAGTTGTTGTCCCTCGGACAGATATGCCGTGGACTTCGGTTTATACCCAAAACAAAACAAAACCCAACAAAAAGAAACAGATGAAATCTAAGAATTTTGTTAGGATGCCTTCGCTAGCTGCCCGCTGGTTTTGCCCTGGCTGCCTGGGCTACCTAGTGATCCAGGGTGGATTTATCAAGGCCTGTCCTTATGTGCAGGTCCCCGTCCTACCCCTTGTCTCCCATATCCCAGCCACAGCTCTGTGGCCACGGACTGCTAACTCAATTCTCCCAGCTCTTGTTTCTTAAACAACAGGTGTGTGGTTTGAAGGTGCTGTAGTCTACAGTGTATAACTCTCTCTTCTCTGGCTTCCCACATAGATCACTGGTGTTATCCTTCTTGCCGTTGGTATTTGGGGCAAGGTGAGCCTGGAGAATTATTTTTCCCTTTTGAATGAGAAGGCCACCAATGTCCCCTTTGTGCTCATTGGTACCGGTACCGTCATTATTCTGTTGGGCACCTTTGGCTGTTTTGCTACCTGCCGAGCTTCTGCATGGATGTTAAAACTGGTGAGTCCTTGTTTTCCTTAGAATTGACTCTTGACTTCAGAAAAGTCTTATATGTTGTTGGCTTTGTTTCTTGAAACTGGCCACGGCCCTTTCTCATTTCTCCTCTTTCTTCCCAAGTAACATTTCTGCTACCAGTTCCCACTTTTGTTGTGTTTTCCCTGTCCTTTTTAATAAAAACATGCTGAACTGATTGAGCAGACTGGTTTTTTTCTTTGACTCCCCTCGCAGCTGTGATGTATCTTATTTATGCTGACTTGGACTTTCTTTTTATCCCACAGTATGCAATGTTTCTGACTCTCATTTTTTTGGTTGAACTGGTCGCTGCCATCGTAGGATTTGTTTTCAGACATGAGGTAAGCCTGAATTTGGGAACCTTGATATGTTATGATTTATCCTCCCAGAGATAAAAACAGTTAATAGTTCAGAAATCACTTTTAAAACTTTCTTTTCAAACTGTAGCTGACAATAATGGCTTTCTTGTAAAAATTCTAGCCCACGTTTAATATAAAAAAAATTTTAGAAAATTGTAGACTGAGTTACCAGAAGAAAATTACAGGTACCCGTAGTTACATGTATTTCCAGTTCTTTTTCTGTATACAAGTACCTGTTAAAGTGGAGATAGTACAATTTATAACCTTACTGATAGAGGAAAATATTTAAGGCACGAAATTGATAACACAACTGTGTTCTCCCTTATGCCACGTGTTTAAAAAAATTGGATATACTTAATGCAAATCATCAAAACTTTAATATTGAAGTAGAAATCGGGGATCCACTGTTAAAACTGGGGTTGGGAAATCCTTCAGTGAGTAGTGAAGGCTCCTCAATGAGAGTGTTTTACAAAGTGGTAGTGCAGTCTCCCAAAGTAAGCTTAAGTAAGCTTAAGAATCCTGTAGGCATCAAATTTGTACTTAATTTAAAATAGAGAAAAATTGGGGGAGGGATACAGCAGTACAGAGCTGCCACTTGAATAAAAGCTCCCACAGCACTTTGAACTTGAGCAGTTATCATCTTTTATTGTAATGTTTTGCTTAGTAATCCCCTCAGCTAAACTGTAGCTCAGAGAAGACAGGATTGGACCATAGAAGTTAATTACCATACATGTTGCTGCTGTCAAAGATAATGAACGTTAGTCAGATGTGGGGGATTTTTTTATTTGGCCTAGAAACCCAAAGAACTTTCTAGAATCTTTATTTACTGGCGTTGTGTTTCTTTGCTGTAGATTAAGAACAGTTTTAAGAATAATTATGAGAAAATTTTAAAGCAGTATAACTCTACGGGAGATTATAGAAGCGATGCAGTAGACAAGATTCAAAATAAGGTAAGTGGTCATAGGGTGGTGGCTATTCAAGAGGGGAACACATCCTTATCCCTTTAGAGAAGAGGATAGGGCTCTGGCTACTAGACGTTGTCCACTTGTATGATATTCTCATTACAATCTTAGATCAGGAGAGAGTATGTCCCTGGAAAAGAAGTGTGAGATGATACTAAGTGACATATCTCCATTTTCTCCTAATCATTCTCCTCACATGTACACCTCTTCACTCCTCACAGACATCACGGAACAAGTACTCTTAGTACCAGCTGTAGCAGGAAAATAAGGCCAGTCCAGAAGGCTTACACTTGGTATTTAGAAAAAGAGTGCTTATCTCTTGAATTATAAGGCCAATTGAGAACGGCCACATTAAAATATTAGGATAGAGATCATTGAGTATGATGTTTGTGTTTTGAGCACAAATTGCAATCTAAGGTAATAGGCTAAGTGTTTGACTACAAAGCTGTGATGTGAACTGTAAATGGTTTTGTTGGATTTTTTTTTTCAGTTGCACTGTTGTGGTGTCACCGACTATAGAGATTGGAAAGATACTAATTATTACTCAGAAAAAGGATTTCCCAAGAGTTGCTGCAAACTTGAAAATTGTTCTCCACAGAGAGATGCAGATAAAGTAAACAATGAAGTAAGGAGCCTTTAAATTTTTTTTTATTTGAAAATATTAACTGAATTCAGAGTTGACTCAGTTTTTAATTTTTCCTCACAATAGATATAATCTAAAATAGGCGGGGCAGGTATTATTCTCACTGAATAAATGAGGAAACTGAAGCTCAGACAGTTTGTGACTTGAGTTCACACAACTAGCAAATAACACTTTTAAATGCATAATCCAAAAGGTGGAACTTCTGTTCTTCAAACTCCTGTCAGAGCATTGTGCTTGAAAGGAGATATAGGATATGTTATATGAAAGAGTGAATTTGAATAAAATGATAACCAAAGGCTGAGGTAGCTAAAGCTCATCTTTTGGCAGAGATGGATGATCCAAGTGTTCATTATTGCTTGTGCTGTACTTAAAATTGTTTTTCGTCTCCCATTAGGGTTGTTTTATAAAGGTGATGACCATTATAGAGTCAGAAATGGGAGTGGTTGCTGGGATTTCTTTTGGAGTTGCTTGCTTCCAGGTAAGTCCTTGTTAGGAATGTCTCCTCGCTCTTGTTCAGTGGTAAGCTAGAAGATTGCCAATCTGAAGGCCTCAGGGCATTTCCAGAGAAGTCACATTTTCACAAGCTCCCGGCTGTTTTTATTTTGTATGTGAAACATGTAGTCAGTCATTTGTGTTGGGTCTATTTAGCTTTGTTTTATTTGGGAGGGGATGTTCTGCTATTTTCATTCCAATTCTTCGATGTCTTGGATCTTATGTTTTCCCACACTATTTTCACAATTAGACTTCTCCAGATTTTTATTCCCTGTTTACCTGCTCTTTTTTTTTTTTTTTTTACCATGGCCTAGCATGCTTTGAAACTACAGAAAGCAAGGCTTAGAATTAACTCGTAGTAGTACAAACCTGGTGCCCCCGGGTACGGCAGCTCTCCAGCATCCTAGTTCATTAATTAAAACATGAGATAGATGGGAACCTTGTCTTACTGTGCAGTCAAGATTCTAAAACATTGTCCAGATTTTTTCTTTCCTGGGCTGCGGCTGCCTGGTGAGTTCCATATAAGTTCTGACCTACAAAAACTTAGATCATACGACCCACATTCAATATGTGCCTGTCATGTTGGGGACGTGCTACGTTGTGGGTCAAATTCTATTTTCCGAGTTGTGCTGCTTCTCACCGTAGCGTGGAAAGTTTGTATTGTAGCTCTAAACAATTTTTCTTAGGTAATGGGGGTTTGTCCTGTATCGAACATCATGGCGATAAAACTAAAAGAATGGACATACTTCATTTCGACCTATGTAATTGGTTTTGGAAGTCTGATCTTAACATATTTCTCGAGCAGCAGGCCTAGCTATGTCTGAGTCTGCACTGTCTAATAAAATGGCCACTAGCACCTTCGGAAGGTTCTAATTATTAAATAAAATAAAAAATTTGATTCCTCAGTGCTCAATAAGCCACATGTGGCTAGCGGCTAGCTTACTGGACAGCCCGGGGCTTAAAGAACAAATCCCTTGGTGTAGCACTGCCCTAGAGCTTCCAAGAAGATCTCTGCCTTCATAGATGGAGATTTTACGTGATGAGATGCATAGTCTAAGCCATGTCCTTTTTGTTCTGATGGCTGACAGGTTAACTGATAAGTTTCCCCCAAACTTAACGACATTTAGAATTTTTCCTGAGTGATAATTTTGTCAGTGACAGTTGTGAAACTCCAGGTCATAGTAGCAGTAAAACTTCCCTTATATTCTTTGAATGTGATCCAGGAGCTGCAGAGTATCAAACGTAACTGCCGAGAGAAACTTAAGGAAATTATTAGTGAATTCGAAGTGTAAGGAAAATAAACCTGTATCCTGAGTACTTTAAGCTCTTTTGTGTGTGTGTGTGTGTGTTTAATTTTTGTATTTTATTTCTAGCTGATTGGAATCTTTCTAGCCTACTGTCTCTCTCGTGCCATAACAAATAACCAGTATGAGATAGTGTAAACAGCAAACCATGGGCCTATTCCTCTTCAACTTTAAGGTATGTTCATTTTAGTCTTCAGCTCTCTATCGGTGTGTTTACTTCAGCCTGTTCATGTGATGGATGGACTGAGTTTGCCGAGGTCTTGTGGAGTGGTGCATTCAGATCTGGTTGGTACTGTGTTAGCCCTGCAGTTAGATCAGGTCTCTCAATGCAAGGCATGGCCACAAAGGACAGAAGAGCCTTTGGGGGTTTACCTACACATCAATCTAAAGATCCTAAGTGGTCCCCTTTCTAACAAACTTGGACCTGGACTGAAGAGAGATGGAGAACAGTGACCTTTACTGGTGAGGTTCCCTGGCATGCACACTCCGCTCCCAATACTGGCGTTTTCCCTAGTCTTTATTTACCACACTCCTCTGGTGAACTCTTCTTAGAGCGATAAACACATCTAGCCTAACCTGGAGCCAGATTTGGGGAAAATATGTGTTTCAGTAACTTCAGTATTTGAATGGCAAACCATGAGAACTGTGGCTGGCTGAATTAATCCCCTGGGGTGCCCTTCACAGTTTAATTGGGCCGCTGACGGGGAACATACGAGTAGATGCTCACGTGTGCGAGCGCATACATATATGGAAATTTGGGTTACAAGTCGATTAACTTTTTTTTTCTTTACTTTTAGGACATTTACATTCCCCCTGTAAGCTATGAAATTGCCTGGATGGAAGACTAGCTACTACTGCTTACAATAGACCAAAAACTTACATAAGTAGTCTGATTCAATCAAGACGTGTTCAGTTTAAGTCCACCTTTTGTCCCATTGATGTTAGATCATTGAAACCCCTGTATCACTGTGAAACACTGGAAAAGCTAGTAAATTGCAAATGATGCAATACCGTGTTCCTCTTGACTTTTATTTTTCAAAATCGCATTGTGAATCTGCTATTTTGATGTAGTGTTACAAAGTGACTGCTCTGAATTTGCTGACTGATGTAATGTGATAGAAAATTGACCCTTCCGAACTGGCCTCTTCCCAGATGAGTTAAAATTATTGTCTAATTTTCATCAAGTTAAGATATTTTCATTACTCTCTGTTTTGCTCTCAAATTTATATTTGAAAGGTTCTAATTATTACTTAATGGTGTCGGAATTACTGTATTTTCCTTAGGAATTGAAAGCAATTCATCTTCATTAGCGTTAGCTGCTATTTCTTTATCAGGTTGATGTGACTTAATTGTCAGTATCATGGTCAACTATAATAGTCTTAGTTTTGGTTTGTGCCTTTGATTAAATATAAATCTTCCACACAATAAATGTTGTTTTCCTCTAAAATCATCATGTTTAACTTGTAGAAAATCTGCCGGGATGGTTGTTTTCCACTGAGAAAGCTAAGCCCCACATTTCTACTTGAAGGTGCAGGTTTAGATAGGAAATGTGAAACTGAGGTCTTGACTTGGTTTCATTTTTTAAAAAATCTTTGTTTATAAAAACTATTCCCTGTGAAAGGATTTCATTTCATATTATGAAATAGCATATGCTTAGCATTCTCCTGGAACTGGGACTATTTTGATTGTCTAGTTTACATTAAGAAGTTGGATGGGGAGAGATATAACTTGTACCTTCGGGGTAATAAGGAAATGAATAATTAAAATTTGGGCTGGGATGGGGGAATTTTTTCCTTGGTTTTGGGTTTCTTTACACATCCATTAGTAGAACCTAACTCTTCTCTGCTACACATCCACGCAGTCCTTGAATCTGATGGTAAGGGGGAGTCAATCACAGTTATAAAGTGGGCAAAAACTACTAGTTAAGATTCATAGTGACTTGTGGGTACATGTCTATATATATATGCCTTGAGTTACTGCAGAAAGAGTATTCTACATGAAAACATTTGACAGGTCTGACTCAAGACAGAGTGATAAAACAGTTGGAAAATAGTGGCTTTCCAAATATATAGATCAGATTTTGGCTATTGGAATTAGTGAAGCTAATTTAAAGGATAAAGAAACTAAAGGATAATCCAAGCAGTGTTAAGTAGGTACATTTCACTAGGATGGCCTAGAAGAGCCTGATAAAGTTGTCATTAAGTAGGTTTTTTTTTTTAAGTTAAAAGTTTTTCCTCATTTTTTTTAAGATTTTATTTTTATTTATTTGAGAGAGAGTGAGAGAGAGCATGAGCAGGGGGAGAGGGAGAAGCAGACTCCCCGCTGAGCAGGGAGCCTGATGCGGGGCTCGATCCCAGGGTCTTGGGATCATGACCTGAGCCGAAGGCAGATGCTTAACCGACTGAGCCACCCAGGCACCCCAATTTTTCCTCACTGTTAAAAAGGAAAAAAAAAAAACCCAGAAAATAAGGAATGTAGGAAGAAAAAAACACCACACATCACGCTGTAGGCGGGTTGGCGTATTTATTTTTAAGGTTCGTTATTCTGGCTGGCCAGTTACAAAAGTCCCTTATCGCTAATGTGTGCATGTGCACACTGGACTGTAAAATTCACCTCCACCTTTGATGTGCCAAAGGCATCCTGTGGGTTGTCTCACTTCCAGGCACCATGTTACTTACCGCAAAGAGGCTCTGAACTCCACCTTGAGAAGCAGACTCCACAGGTATATTTTCTGAACGTGTGGAAAGCTTGGCATCTTTGGCCTATTCCCGTGTGGGTGTGGGGGGGTTTATGTGGTAGGCATCAAACTTTTATGGAAACAAATACCTAATACAAGGTATAAATGCCATTTCTGTGTTCCCTCAGAGCTCACACAGGCGTCTTTGAGACTTGATGTTTTTAACCTCCTGCGAGAATCCAAGTTGGTACTTTGCCAGTGATGCGGCCAACCAAACTGATTAAATTATGAGAGGCAAAGCAATGGATGCTTTTTTTGTGGAACTGAGGAAACTTTGGTTCCTTTGGACTATTCTGTGTGGGCTTTTGTATTTGTAAAAAAAAAAAGAAAGAAAGAAAAAGAAAGCCTAATACAACGTATAAATACCATTCCTGCCTTTCCTCACTGCATACATAAGATGCATTGAGATTTCGGGTTTTTTTTAAGCTTGCTGTCCGACGTTGACACTTGGCCTGTGACGTGGCAAACCAAACTTTTTTAATTCATAAAGGGAAACAAAAGGTAATATATCAGAAAAGAATACATACAATGCAACAGTTACTGGGAAATGAGACTCTCATTTCGAAGTCATAGGTCTAAAACTTCACCCAGATTCCTTGTGAGAGAGAAGCCATTATGATTTAATTATGGCTTTTCTATTAGGTCCCCTTACCCCTTGGAGCTTAGTAGAATTAGGCACTTGTAAGAGCAGGGCAAATGCTAATGAAATAAATGAATGAGTGAGTGAATCTAACTATAATGGCTCTTTAATGTTCTGTGAGAAATAAGCTGTTGATCTAAATACCTCATTCCATACAAACCATCGTTTATATAATAGAAACCACCTGCTCAGTCAGAAACCACTTAACCTCAGAAGCCGCAGCTAACTTCCTTCTGGTCAAATCACTTTTTGCTGCTTCTCTTTTTTGAATTCATTGTTACTTTCGATGCCACTGAAGATCGTTGTTTTGTTTTTTGTTTTGACCTTGTGATATCCTGCTTTCTTTCCCTTTTACTGCTCTTTTTAGTTTACTTTACTGTTTTAATTTCCTCCTACTTTTCAAGTGTGGCTTCCCCCAAAGGCTTGCACTTGGCTTTCTGCTCTTAGATTATGCTGACCTTGGAGGAATTTTTTTTTTTAATTTTATTTATTTATTAGAGAGAGAAGGAGCAGAGGGAGAGGGAGAAGCAGACTTCCCACTGAGCAGGGAGCCTGATGCAGGGCTGGATCCCAGGACCCTGTGATCATGACCTGAGCCGAAGGCAGATGCTTAACCGACTGGGCCACCCAGGTGCCCCTGACCTTGGAGGAATTAAGTGTAGATATCATCAAGGCCTAACCCCTTGCTCTCTGGTTGTACACTTTAGTTGTGTGTTGGACATAGTGGGTTGCTTGTATCCTCCTCCCTGCTCCAATACCCAAAAGCTTAGCACGCTGAACACTTCAAAAGTCAAAAATTTCTCCTATAACATCTAGTCCGTGCATAGTAGGCCCTCATCTGAACTGGCTCCTTCATCAGGAATAACACAGTTTGTGGGACTTGGGGGAAATAGGTCAGTTGCTCTAAGAGTTCCTTATCACTGGCTCCATCCCCTACATTTATCCCGTGAATGTAAATTCTTTAGGTAAGACTGTCATATGGGATCTGGCGGTGGTCTCATTACCATGTCCTCAACATTTTTCTTTTAAAAATAAAGACAACTGAAGTAGTAACTTGTAAAGACTTTTCCCCCAAGTTCCTCACCACCTCTTCTGGGAAAGGTGCCTAGTAGCGACATCCTCAAAACAAACCAAACTGTTCTGGTGCTTGCCTGGATATGGATGATCAGTTCACAAATGAGAGGATGCAGCATCTAAGTGGGTGATACAACTTCTCAGAATCATTGCTGGAAAGGAAGAGTAGCTACATTGCGTACATAGGGAAACACACCTGGGGTATAGTATAAGAGATTTGGAGAGATGAGGGACGGCATCCACACATTATCACTCTGTCATGTACTGCGGTAGCAGGAAAATTAACATACAAGAGAAGGTAGACTGTTTGCACAAAGTCTTTTTTTCTCCCACTCAGGGGAGGTCAGAGAACTAATGTTTGTTGAACACTTACTAATTGCCAGACACTGTGTAAGGTGCTGCAGTTAATGAAGCTGTGTGGGGAAGTGGTGCTATCCCATCTTTTCAGAAAAAAAAAACCACAAAAAAAGCTGAAGATTAGGTTAAATAACCCGCCCAGGATCACATAGCTAGTAGTAGATCTGGGATTTGAACTTCAATCTGTTGGACTCTGAAGCCCCAGGCTTCTTTCATTGGATTTTTCTGTGTCTCGATAACAAAAAGACTCTGGGGCTTATGTCATGCTAGCCCAAGCCAGAGAAGAAAAGTATGAAAAAAAAAAAAAAGATTCTTCTTCAAATACCTTTTAATTAGTCTTTACTGAATATGAAATTTTTAAAAAGGAAGCTTTCATGGAAAAGAGTATCCCATTTTCTCACAATATGCTTTTGTAAAGTGTTAGCATTCAATTACAAGTACATATTAAAAAAAAAAACAACAACCTTGTTGTGGGGCGCCTGGGTGACTCAGTTAAGCCTCTGTCTTCGGCTCAGGTCATGATCTTGGGGTCCTGGCATCCAGTCCCATCCTGGCTCCCTGCTCAGCAGGGAGTCTGCTTCTCCCTCTCCCTCTTGTCCTTCCCCGCCACTCTGCTCCCTCTCTTTCTCTCAAATAAATAAATACAATCTTAAAAAATATCCTGTTGTGGGGCGCCTGGGTGGCTCAGTTGTTAAGCGCCTGCCTTCGGCTCAGGTCATGATCCCAGCGTTCTGGGATCGAGCCCCGCATCGAGCCCCGCATCGGGCTACCCGCTCGGCGGGAAGCCTGCCTCTCCCCCGTCCACTCCCCCTGCCTGTGCTCCTCTCTCACTGTGTCTCTCTCTGTCAAATAAATAAATAAAATCTTTAAAAAAAGAAAAATATCCTGTAGTTACTCCCTGCCCCCACAACATTACTAAACAAAAGAAATGCTTACAAAGAGTTAATCACAGTGTAAACATTAACCCTATCTGTTTTCTTTCTTTCTTTTTTTTTTTTTAAGATTTTATTTATTTATGAGAGAGAGAGCATGAGTTGCGGGGGGGGGGGGGTTGGGAAGTGGCAGAGGCAGAGGGAGAAGTAGACTCCACGCTGAGATCAGAGCCCGATGCAGGGCTCAATCCCAGGACCCTGGACCCAGGACCCACCCAAGTGCCCTAACCCTGTCCATTTTCTTTTAAGCATCTTGTCACGCAGTGAATGCTTCCCCAAGTTTACAAGCAAATACTTGCTATGTTAGTAAAGATACTCTTCAACACTTAGCTGTTGTCATACTGTATTCCCTTGTGAATATCTTTAAATCCCGCGTGGAAAACAACCCAAAAAACTCAACCTCTGCCACACAGACACACACATATGCTGGAAGCAGAATCACTCTCATCCTGGAGGCACAAGTCCGAACCCCTGCTTTTCAATGACTTCGTGTGCACACGTGCACCTGCATGTAGATGATCGATCCCCTACAGGACAGCAGCGATTTCTGAGGCGGCCAGACCCCAGGGTGTGCCCCAGGGCATCTCTGCATTTCAGAGCTGCCCACCACAGCTCAGCGCAGTCTTGAATCCGGCCCAGTCACAGTCTGGCCCTGGCAGGGGAGCAAGCAACACAGGCCCT